ACCCCTTTACTAGTAGAATTATAGTGTGGGAGTACTAGTACTCACTGTACTTGTATAGTCAATGTAGTAGGGGTACCAAGTGACCCCTCTACTAGTAGAATTATAGTGTGGGAGTACTAGTAGTCACTGTACTTGTATAGTCATAGTGTAGAGGTACCAGTGACCCCCTCTACTAGTAGAATTATAGTGTGGGAGTACTAGTAATCACTGTACTAGTATAGTCATAGTGTAGGGGTACCAGTGACCCCCTCTACTAGTAGAATTATAGTGTGGGAGTACTAGTACTCACTGTACTTGTATAGTCAATGTGTAGGGGTACCAGTGACCACTGTACTAGTAGAATTATATTGTGGGAGTACTAGTAATCACTGTACTAGTATAGTCAATGTGCAGGGGTACCAGTGAACACTTTACTAATAGAATTTTATAGTGGGGGTGCCAGTGACCACTTTACTAGTAGAATTATAGTGTGGGAATACTAGTAATCACTGTTTTAGTATAGTCATAGTGTAGAGGTACCAATGCACATTGTACTAGTAGAATTATAGTGTGGGGAACTATTGATCACTGTACTAGTATCATCATAGTGTGGGGGTACTAGTGGTCACCATATTAGTATAATCATAGTATAGGGGTACTAGTGACCACTGTGCTAGTAGAATTATGGTGTGGGGAAACTATTGATCACTGTACTAGTATCATCATAGTGTGGGGGTATTAGTAATCACTGAATGCTGCTGCTTCTCTACCGAGAAGCACATCTCACCTAGGTTCTGGTTGACAGGTGTCTCTACTGTCGTCTCAACCAACTGACAACAAGCACTTACTCCACAACAATTAATTTACCTGTCTATTGAGTCATTCTTATTTCCACTACCTGATGGTCTGAAGGATAATTAAACTCCTGCCTGGTTATTCTAAAACTTAGGTACTTTAGAACTAGACATGTGTTTTGCGTATTTTATGGCAGGGACAGTTATCCTGCTAGAGAGTATTCGATTATGATCTCTTGCTGTTCATGAGCTAAAGATCCTTAGAAATGCCGTATAGTTTGATTAATCCAACCTCATCAAAGTACTCCTACTGATAGAAAGCACTCTTCACAGGCCTCCGAAATGATGGTATTTCACTTGTATCAAGACGCAAAATCATCACGAATCTATTGCAAAGATGATTTTCAGATATTTTTTCTAATCCTGAGAAATGAGCGTTTTTCTTCCGACAGCACTTCCAGCCATTAAGAGAAGATTTCAAATATTTTATTATCAACTAATCAATACATTTAAACGACATTATTCACAACAAGGAGTTATTTAACCAATCATTGTAACCATTACAAATATGAATAGTCTACACGTCCAGTAACTCAGAATCCTTACGTTTCCTTAAACCATGCAAGTCACGAAATTTTTGTATTTTCTATGTACTTTGCCGTCACTAACCCTAACTTTCTGATACGCTTCTGAGCTTTATTCTCAGTGAATTACCTTTCAGAGTACATAAGATTGGCCAGGAAATATGCTATGAAACTAGCAATTACAACAGTTTGTTTCAAAAGCTCTCAAGCACCAGTTGCAAGTACTAAATTATTTTTAATTGAGTTGTGCAGGGTAACACTGGTGGGATGATCATTCATTCAGCCTGAGTTAATTTAGGATAGCTTGTAATTTATTCTTCTTTTCATCTTTTTTAAACGTGTATGTGAACTTAATTTACACCTTACATTTTATCCATTTTTATCTTTCACTCTTGCATTCTTAGTACAAAATAGAAAGGATATTCATCTAAAAATGTTCGAAAATTAACGGAACTCAAAATAATGTTTCGTACGTTGTGTGAGAAACGATTGTAAGTTGTATCGTAAACTTTGAAATACGTGTTCAAAACTTATATCACGGAGTTTTATAGTCAATGTGATCAATCTACGTCAAAGTCGTTAAACAAAAATTTTAAAACGGAAAAAAAAAGAAAAAAAATCCGCCGGGACAGACCTGCCATCTAGAGGTGAAACGTCACATTAATCACATTCTTAATGGTTTTGTACAGCTTGAACTGTTCTCGACTGGTAGGCAGTCACAAGGAAGAAATATAGATAACTGCAGTTTGCTTTGTTTTTCTGGAATGTCTGGCGTTCACTAGGACATCTCATATCAAAGTGCATGTTCAAGAGCTCGTCATCTACCAATCTCTCAAGGTGATAAAATAGGCGTGTTTCAGTGTTCAAGAATGAGGCAAGAAGATGCTTTTAAGAAAAAAAACGTTGACTGGAAGAATAAATGTCTACTTATTCTAATTGTAGTGTTGTTGTTTGGTTATAAATAATAGCTTAGCTTGGCTAATTATATTATTGTACTGGTAATAACTTTTGTAAAGGAGTTGTAAGTTACTATGTTGACAAATTAAAAGAGAACATTTATTATTATCACTTAACACCACTTAGTGACTTTTAAAATATCAGGAAAATACCACAGGAGAGCTCATACATAATGATTGTCGAGCATATCGTCTTCATT